GCGCCTGCCGGGCAGCCCCATCCCCCGCGCGCGGCTCTGCTCAGGCCGGACCCCGAGCGCGGCTCCGGGCGGCGGCGGCGACGGCGTGCTCCCGTCCGGGCGAGTCCTGCGGGACAAGACGGGCACAGATCACGGGGTGGGGCGGCGGGAGCGCCCGGAGGCAAGAGGGAGCGGCGGGAAGGAGCGCGCAGCCCTCGAGGAGCCGGGTCCCAGCCGGGAGGGCACCGAGCCGGCGCCCAGGACGGGCGCCGGGGGCCTTGTTCGCCGGGAACCCAGGGTCCCTCCGAGCCCCACTCCGCCTCCCCGGCCCCCTAACACTAGGTCCGCGGCGCTCTCCAGCCCCAGGCTGGTTCCCAGGGACGGGGTCGGCCGGGCGAGGGTCCGGCGGGAGCTGGGAGCGCGGCGGCGGGAGCGCACTCACTCACCATGCCCGGCTGCGACTGCAGAGGCGGCGGCAGCGGCGGCGAGGAGGGAGCGAGCGGCTGGACCGGGCGAGTCCAGCCGAGAGCCGCCGGCGCGCAGCCTGCACTAGTGCCTGAGCGTGTGCGAGAGGAGCGAGGACACACACGCACTCACACACCCGCACACGCGGGAGCGCCGGAGGGGAGGGCCCGCAGGGGAGGGGAGGGGAGGACAGCCGCTCGCCACCGCCCACGTTTGCACGCCCGAGCGCCCGAGGCGGGGTGCGGGAGGACTCGCTTTCTCTTCCTCCACCCGGTGCCGGCTCGCGGCACTTGAAGCTCCAGTCACCGAACCCCTACACCAGTTAACGCTGCGAATAAGGGGGGTAAAGAGGGGTCCCGGAAGAAAGGCGAGGGTCCTGTCTGCAGCCGGCCCTGGGCAGGGCCAGACCTCCCTGGCCGATTTCGCTTCAGCCCTTGCTGCGGGTCACACTCTAGCCACGCCAGGGGTTGTGGGCTTCCAGAAAGGGAGTTAGGGTTTCTGTAAGCCTTTGCCTCTCCCTAGTGGTGATGCTGGCAACCAAGAAAAAAGGTCAAACCCATTGCTACAGGTTCCTAAACTGAGGCCTGGGGTCAAGAGGTTTGCCTGAGAAGACTGGGCCACAGAGTGTGAAGACTCCAACTCTGGTCCCCTTGAACACTTTACTCAAGCACGCACAGAGACATAAGAGAATCCCAGCTCTGCGTGGCATCTGCTATTCCCTCTTTTTCCAAATGAGTAAGAAAAACAGTCTGGGCTTCTAAGATTCAGCTTTAAAATCTCTTTTCCCTGTATGTTGGAGCTGGTTAGGGGAGAGGGGTCATTCTTGTGAAAGGAGATAGGCATCTTTCAAAGTTAGGAGGTCACTCCAAGAGAAAGTCACAGTCACAGTTTTTGGCATGTATTCTTGGAGAAAGCGGCCGCAGAGGCATGGGGGGAGGGGTGTGTGTGTGTGTGTGTGTGTGTGTGTGTGTGTGTGTGTGTGTATGTGCGTGTGTGCATGTGCTGAGAACAAAAGCAGTCGCCAAGACCAAAATCCTACCTGCCTGCCCTTGTTTTGACTGGAGGCAGCCGTGGGCTGTCAGAATAATGACCATAAACAATTTTCCCTGAAACTAGTTTTTCGTCCTAATCTTATGTGTGACCCAAACCACACATCCCCATCCAGGAAACGCTGAGTTCTCCCTTCTGGCAACAGTACAATAGTAAAATTGAGATAGAATCCTGTTTCTGTGACACAAGATGGAGGTCGTGACCCTGGGGTAGGGCGACCATGCACTGCCCTGGCATTCTCAGCTTGCTAATTTGTCTTCCTTCCTTCTCTTCCTTTGCAAGTCCTTCTCTTCCCTTAATTTCATTTCTTCTTCTTCTTCTTCTTCTTCTTCTTCTTCTTCTTCTTCTTCTTCTTCTTCTTCTTCTTCTTCTTCTTCTTCTTCTTC